CGCCCCCCCCTGAGGGCCCCGAGACCTGTCGCTCCACCTGGGGGCCCGGCGCCCGCCGCTCCCCCTGAGGGCCCGGACCGTCGCTCCCCCTGGGGGTCCGGCCCCCGCGCTCCCCCCGGGGGCCCGAGCCCGTGCTCCCCTGGGGGTCCGGCGCCCGCCGCTCCGCCTGAGGGCCCGAAAACCTGCCCTCTTGCCTGGGGGTCCGGCGCCCGCCGCTCCGCCCCGCCGCTCCGCCTGAGGGCCCAAGACCTGTAGTTCCGCCTGGGAGTCCGGCGCCCGCCGCTCCGCCTGGGGGCCCGATGCCTGTCGCTCCACCTGGGGGTCCGGCGCCCGCCGCTCCGCCTGAGGGCACGAGACCTGTCGCTCCACCCGGGGGTCCGGCGCCCGCCGCTCCGCCTGGGGGCCCGATGCCTGTCGCCCCGCCTGGGGGCCCGATGCCTGTCGCCCCGCCTGGGGGCCCGGTGCCTGTCGCCCCGCCTGGGGGTCCGGTGCCTGCCGCTCCGCCCGGGGGCCCGGTGCCTGCCGCTCCGCCCGGGGGCCCGGTGCCTGCCGCTCCGCCTGGTAGCCCGATGTGCCTCTGCCCGGGGTCCTGCCCGATGTGCCTCTGCCCGGTGTGCCTCTGCCCGGAGTCCAGCCCGATGTGCCTCTGCCCGGAGTCCAGCCCGATGTGCCTCTGCCCGGAGTCCAGCCCGATGTGCCTCTGCCCGGAGTCCAGCCCGATGTGCCTCTGCCCGGAGTCCAGCCCGATGTGCCTCTGCCCGGAGTCCAGCCCGATGTGCCTCTGCCCGGTGTACCGCTGCCCGGAGTCCTGCCCGGTGTGCCAGTCTTTGATATCCCGCCAGTTACCAGACCCGGGCGGTGGAACATTTTTCCCAGCTAGGACTGTTTGGAGCGTCCTGAGGCCGCTCCTTGAGGGGGGGGTACTGTCAGGAATGGACTGGCCAGCAATGGTGGGACTCACCTGCCTTTTGATCTGCAGTACCAGGGCTGGCCAGCGGGTGCTCCCAGCAATCAGAGACTCAACCTTTCAGCCAGCTAACACCTGGAACTGATGATACTGGTGTATTTAAGGGATGGCCAGACTTGCAGACTCTGCCTTGGTGTTGTGTTTGTCCTGGGCCCTGTATCTGTCCTGCATCCTGTTTCTGTTCCTTTGCTACCTGTTCTGATCCCTGGCTTGTGACCCTGACCATCCCTCTGCCTTACCCTCTGTACTACGCTGCTTGCTACCTGTTCTGATCCCTGGCTTGTGACCCTGACCATCCCTCTGCCTTACCCTCTGTACTACGCTGCTTGCTACCTGTTCTGATCCCTGGCTTGTGACCCTGACCATTCTCCGCTTGCTCCCCCTGTACCTACCTGCCCAATTGATATTGACTCGGCCTGCCTGACGACGCTTGCTTGTATGTACTGTTATCTGTGGGTGGTTGGTTGGGTTTGTTTGCACTGTATTATGTTTAGTATTGCACTGCGTTTATGTTTGTATTGTTAGTGTTAATAAATTACATTGTTAATCACATATCTGAAGTCTGCGTTTCCCTGCTTCAGTCACACACCTCTGGTCCTACCTGGGAGCCCTGACACATGCTCTTTTGCTTTGAAACTTGATCTGCAAACCCAAGGCTGATTGGCAAGTACTTTACCTCTTTAACCTCCTTTCTGTTACCTCTTTGCTGTGCTGTTATTCTCTGTATATTTATATATATATTGGTTACATCTTTTTTCTGTAAATATTTTTATTGCACCCTTTTGACCTTTTAGTATTAAATCTTTCTTTCTGAAAGTGTTGAACTGTTTTTATAGCTCGTTAATACAATTTATGAATTCCTGCCTCTAAAAGAGAGCTACTGTGTTTGTTTAACCCTCAGTGTTATACAGACGATTATTTCAACCATCATAGTGTTATTGCTGGTATTGCCGAGTTTCCTCTTTCTCTGTACAAAAAGGAGGTGGTGGCAGTGTGAAGGGTTAATTGTGTAATTAACCTGACCCAGTAACAATTGCTCCCAGGCTGCCAGTACATCGATTGTGGTCCAATTAGCTGGAAAATCTTTGTGCAGGGTGCAGCTGGGCGCGGCATTGTTACGCACGTGACATCGCAGTTTTAGATTGGCCAGTCCTTCGGTCACGAGTTTGGTGAGAAGGTCAGGGGTCTGACGCCGCGATCGTCACATATTGGCTGGCAGCGTACGTGGGATAGTTGCATTAAGAGCTTCAGTGCAGTGTCAGGAATTAGCTCTGCACTGAAGGATTGTAACCTTTGTGGAAACAGTCCTTAGAAACAAGTTCTACATATTTTTTATATATACATATAGAGAGACATATAGCAACAGCTCCTTCCTTTTTCTACTTTCTATTCTATCTTTGCTTGCAATTATGCCTGGTGACGCAGAATACAAGAAAATGAGCAAAAGTGATTTGAGTGCGGAATGTACCTCACGAGGAATGGACGTTGGTCGTAAAACTCGTGAAGATTTGATTCGGGATCTACAGGAGCATGATAGCCGAGCAGATCAGAACTCGGGGGAACTTGTCCATGACGGGGTTCCTGCTACCTGCGTTCCCAGTGGCTCAGAGACAGCCTCGCAGGATGGGCATACAGAGACTGACACTGGAGGATCACCGAACGGTATCATCACACCACTGCCTGAGCGGGCCAGCACCGGAGTGCTTGTAACTAGCAGAGACTCTCCTCAGATGCAGGAAGCCCTGAAACGCATAAAGGAGACAGATCCTCTGGCCTACTTGCAGTTCCTTGAACGCCAAGCAGCGGCGGAGAGAGAGAGGAACGCCAAGCATCGGCGGAGAGAGAGGAACGCCAGGCAATGGCTGCCAGAGAGGAATAGCAGGCTGAGAGAGAGGAACGCTAGGCGCAGAGGGAAGCTGAACATCGGCACGAGCTGGAGATGGTCAGGCTTCAGCAGCAACGACAGGCTCAGAACCTTGGGTCTTTAGAACACAGGGACGCCACTCTGACCGTGGGCACAGTGGCCAAGTTTCCAGTGATGGAAAAAGATAGTGACATTGACACGTATTTACTGTCATTTGAAAAAACGTGCCGTCAGTACCATGTGCCCCAAGCTCAGTGGGCTCGGTACCTGACACCAGGGCTACGAGGCAAGGCCCTGGATGCATTTGTTGAATTGCCAGAGGGGCAGGACGACGATTACGAAGCTCTAAAGGAGGCCATCATCCTGAAGTACCAGATGACCCCAGAAGTGTACCGCAAGCAGTTCAGGTCCATGCAAAAGGGACCTGGGGACTCTCACACGTATGTGGCGAGTCGCTTACGCACCACATTCCGGCAGTGGACTAAAGGACTGAAAGCAGACTCCTACGAGTCTTTAGAAGATCTCATGATACGAGATCAGCTCCTGCATATCTGCCCGGCAGACGTCAGAAAGTATGTCTTGGAGAGAGAGCCAGTATCTACTAAAGCTGCAGCCGATTTGGCAGATACCTACGTTCATACGCAGGTGTCTGACCCTCGCAAGGCTCCTCTGAATGGCTGGAAAGGAGGGAAATCGCCCCTAGCAACCCCTCCTACGTCGGTGAGTCAAGCTTCCCCTCCGCCCACATCTGCAGCAACTTGGAGCCAAGCCATCCCTGCCTGACAACCGCAGATGTTTCACCTGTGGGAAAGTCAGACATCTCAGGACACAGTGTCCTGAGCAGAAGCAGAAGACATCATCTGGCCAGCCAGCAACTCATCTTCCGTGCTGTTTGTCCGCAGGAAGATGCGGGTAACCCCCGCCAACTTGCAGCCAGTCACTGTGGGCAACCGGTCTAAAACTGGTTTCCGGGACACCGGGGCAGAAGTCACCTTGATCTGGCCGGAGGTGATTGAGCAAAGGAACCTCATCCCAGGAAAGTTCCTTACCCTCACGGGAGTTGGGGGGACCCGTTCACGCATACCCTGTGCAAAGGTATTCCTAGATTGGGGTGCGGGAAGGGGGATGAGGGAGGTGGGGGTCTCGGATGAAATTCCCACACCTGTTTTGTTGGGTGCTGATCTAGGCACTCTTGTTTCCTATTATGCCCCTGCCGAGAATACCCGGAGGGCCCCCTGGAACTCTCTGGACATGCCAAGGTACTGTGTGCAGATGTTGGGGTAATGTCTGGGCAACCTGTGGATGGACAGAGGGAGGGGGCTGGGAATGGAGTGGGGCTACAGGATTCTCCATTAGCTGGAGAACGAGAAGAAATCCCCTTGCCTGGGGAGGTATCAAACTCATGTGTCATTGACATTATAAACGTGACTGTTGATAATGATAATGATGACGATGATGCTGATATTGATAATGTCAGTAATGTTGATGATAATGTTGGTAATTCTAATGATGATTATGATGGTCATGATGAAACAAGTGATGCATTTTCATTGTTGGGGGTCACCCACAGTGCTGTGAAGGGGGCAGAGGTACAATCTCTGGGGTCTGAGCAAAGGGATGGTCTGGATAGGCCTGTTCCTTGCTCAGGCCCAGAAGATTCTGCCTTGATAAGTGCCCAGCCGTTGGCCTTGCATGGTATTGGACAGCCGGCTGGGACTTGTAGTTCCACGCATAAGGCAGCACTGGAAATCAATCCACAAATGAACTTCACAGGCTAGCTAGCTGTGAGCTTCCCTGGGGAGAAGGGTAAACAAAGGCCTGACAGGGAGGATGGAATGAATGGCCGAAGCATGTCATCTGATCGGACCTGTCCTGGTGTGTCACCAGGCAGACAAACATGTGTCCTAGGCAGTGACAGCACACCTGGATTGGAAGTGCGTGGGACCTCATTGGAATTGATCAGCGGATCTCAGAGATGGGGCTGTGGCCCTCAGCTCCAATCACTTCTCCTTTCCATTCAGATACAGAAGCTGCTGGCAATGCCAATGATAGATGGTGCCTGGGTTCTAGGAAACCTGGGGAGAGCTCACCATGCTGTTCAGGAGTTGGACGGCAGAGTGTATCCCTCCCTCCTGCCTTCAGCCAACCTCACCACCCAGGAGGTGCAGGGTGAATGGGCCAAAGAGACAGAGGGAATGGCGCAGTCAGGAATCCAAGGGTCAGCTAGAGTCTGGGCATCCCCGGTAGTCTCGATCCCCAAACAGGATCAGATGACCAGGCTTTTTGAGGACCTTGGAAAACTGAGCACCAGCCCTGTGGGTGTGGCACACCCCATACCCAGGGGCCATAAGGTAATGAAGCCTCTGGAAGGTGCCCGCTGTTTAACCATCATGGACCTGAGCAGAGGGTATGGGCCACCATCTCTAACCCAGGAGGCTCAGGACGAGTCAGCCTTCACCACCCCATATGGCTTACCTGAATTCACGGGAAAGCTAGTTGGGGTTGAGAACTCACCAACCACCTCCCCAGGGGTCAGGAATGACCTGCAATGCGGAGTGGAACTGGGTGCAGTTGCGCACTTTAGGGGCCTTGCGGTGTTCGGCCCTGTCTGGGAAGAGCAACTTGGGCCCCTGTCACTAGTCAGGAACAAACTGCCCATGCCTAGTCTGACAGTCGAGAAGGGTCACTGTCAGAGGGGCATGTCAGTGGTTCAGCTTTGGGAACCACCAGTAGGAAGAGACCCCCAGAGTTCTGGGCATGGGGAGAGTGAGGCAGCTGTGGCCTGGCCTACTTTCCAGGCCAAAAAGCAGGTTACGTCAGTCTTGGGTGCAGCTGGCTACGGTAAGACGCCTGGGTGCAACTATCCTGGCTCAGCTGGACCTGTGACTGACCTGGCAGACAGGAAACTGGCGGAACTGGTGTCCTGGATGCTAGCAGGTAAAGAGGACTGTTCATCTTGGATGAAGGTACCTGTGGACACATCTGGGAGGCGAGTTCCAGAATTCGCCTGGCCGGTTCCGGTGCACACAGGCGCCACTACCTTCAGGTCAGATATAGTCCTAGGCCTGAGGAAGAAGATGAGAGAG